CGTCCAAAAGCCCCAGACCGTCGCACCCCAGCGCTGAACGCTCTCCCCGGATCCGGCTCAGGATCGCGCGCCCTCCGCCCGCGCAGCGCAGCTCAGCGCACAGCGCCGCTCAGCCCGGCGCTCCGCACCCCCCGCCCGCGCGCAGCCCCGCATCCCCTCCCGCACGGCGCGGCATCTTCGCCCCCGCGCCCACCTTGCAGGCCGAAAACACCCCCAGCTTCTCCAGCTTCTTGCCGCGGGGGAAGCCCCGCACCTGCGCCTTGCGCTGACTCGCCCGCTGCTGCTGGCTGAGCCCGGGCCGCGCCGGATCGCTGGAAGCCGCGCCGCCCGCTCCTCCCGGAGCCGTTCCCCCGCTCCCCGCCCCGGCGTTCGGCGCCACCGCCGTTCCCGGAGCCGGCGGGGGCCTCCCGGGTTGCGCGGCCTCCGGCTCCGCCATGCCGGGCCCGGCGTGCGCTCCGAGCTCACTGCGCCTGCGCGCCGGGCACGCCGGGAGCGGCGGCTCGCAGCGGGGAGGGCTGAGCGCGGCGTTACCGGGACGGCGCACGGCGCTCCGCACCCCCGCACGGGAGCCGGGCTGGCGGCCGGGCGCTCCGAGCGCGGCGTCCCGGCACGAAGGAGGCTCCCTGCGGGCCCATCCCGGGGCTCCGCCGGTAACGCGGGGGCCGAAGCTCAGCGGGGGGCGCCGGCCCGGAGCCCGGGACCGCGGGAACGGATCCGCCGCGCCGCCAAATACGGAGCGCTGCCGCACCCACGGCCGGCAGATACGGAGCGGACGGAGCCCGTCTGCCCATACATGGAGCGGCTCCGCCCGCAGCCCCGCGAATGGGCGCGGTTTGGCGGAGCGTCCTTCGCGGGGAGCCCCGCAGCGCCTGGAAGGTGCGAGCAGCGGCGGGGCGGTGCGGGGGGGCACGGCTGCTGTCCCCGGCCCGGCAGCGCGGCGAGCGTCCCGGCGCCTTCCCGAGGAGCCCAGCGCCGCGTCCCCGAGGGCTCTCCGTATTCGTGTCGCTGTGCGTGTGCGGGAGCCCCCCGGCCGCCTCTCTCCACCAGGGCAGCATGGGGAGACGTGCCGGGAATGCGCCCTCTGCAGCGCAGTGCGGCTCTCGGGATGGCCGTCCCGCTGCGCGAGCACAGCGAGGCCAAACCGGCAAACACACGAGCCGTATATGTAAAAGTCAGGGACGTTTATTACATATCAAAAAAATCTACACGCTTTGGCCAGAGATCCCCCCCCGTCAGGGCCGGCACAGCCCCGCTCTGCGGCCGGCGGTGCCCCAGCACCGGGCTCAGCCCGGCCCCGCGCTGCTCCATCACGCCTTGGCTCTCTCTGCTCCGTCCTCGGCGTTGGCCACCGGCTGTGCAGCTGCTGCTGGCAGCTGGATGGGCACGTTCCTCTCGTTCGGCGGCGGCAGGGCCAGCCGAGGGGCCTCGATGCGCAGTTGCCCCTCGCTGGACAGGGAGCAGCTCAGCGCCTCGGCGTCCACCTCCTCGGGCACGTCCCACTCGCGCTTCAGCACCTCGTACTTGTAGGAGAAGGAGCCCTTCTCGTCCGTGCTCTGCGTCTCCTTCTGCCCCACCAGCACCACCTTCCTGCCCACCACCTTCACCGACAGCTGCTCGGGGGCGAAGTCCTTCACGTCCTGGCAGACGGAGAAGCCCTCCCCGGAGCCCTGGGTCAGAGCCGCGCTGCTGCTCGGTGCCCGCTCGATGCTGACGCGGTTGGAGCTGCTCCCGCTGCTCAGGAGCTGCTCGAAGCTGCTCATGAACTGCCGAGCCCTTTCCATTTCCATCCGTATCTCCCTTTCCAGCTCAGCAAAGAGGGTGCCCGGGTGCGGCCAGAGGGTGCGGACGGGTCCCAGCCATGGGAACAGAGACCCGGAGGTGGGCGGCATGAAGTGCAGGCGGCAAAGCATCTCTGTGGTGCTGCGTCTGAGGCTGTGCGCAGGGCTGGAGCGGTGCTGGGCTGCCGCCGGGACGCGGGGTTTTATCCTCCTCTTCCCAGGGGTGTGCCCCTTCCAGAACGCTCTCTCCCCACGCACCCTCCTGGAGCCATCGCCTATTTTTGCGCGGCTGATTATCCGCCGGCCAAAATAGCAGCGCCTGCTTCTGGGGCCGAGTCACCCTCCGCAAATAGGGAGCTGCAGTCACCGCCGAGGCTCGGGTTTCTGCAAAGCCACCGTGATGCAGCACGCGGCACCGCCGGCCGAGGGGGCAAACAAAGCCCTCCCGCAGCCCCACACTGCAGCGCGGGTCACGCCGCGCAGGGACAGTCCCACCCCGATGGTGTCACCGCTGCCCGACGGCTCTCGCACTTTCCAGACCCACCCCCACGTTCGGGACTCCGTGCAGCCCTGAACGCAGCGCCTGCGCACCCTGCGTGGGGCGGGCAGGGTTTGCTTCGGTGTGTCCCGTGGGGTCCCGACGGCGACCGGCGGGGGGGACGCATTGCTGCAGAGGGGTCCTGAGAGTGGGGCGGGGAGGAATGGGCCGAGGGGAAGGGAGGGCAGCGAGGAGGGGAGTCCGGCCCCGCTCCCTGCCGGGAAGCAGAAAGGCCACGGATTTTTGGCAGGGGCGGCTCGGGCATCCCGCTCGGAGGCTGAGGTGATGCTGCTAATTATAATTCGGGAGAGCAGAGCTGCAAGAGTAAGAGCGAAGGTATGTGGGCCGTGAGGTAAGAGGTGCCTCACCTCTGCGATGAGTAACAAGAATGAGCTGGAACGGGCCAGAAAGAACCGCGCTCTTCTCCCGAAGGTGACGGCATCCGCGGGCCGAGGCCCCGCCTCCCGGGAGGGGAAATAAAAGCCGCGGGCGCCGGAGCCGGAGCACAGCGCTCCCAACTCCCGGAGAGGAAACAGCTGAGAGCAAAGAGCTGAGAGCAGCAGCAGCAGCAGCAGCAGCAGCAGCAGCAGCAGCAGCAGCAGCAACAACAACAACAACAACAACAACATCATCATCAACAACAACAACGATGCTTTGCCGGATGCACCTCGCTCCATTCGCCTCCAGCTCCCTGGCCACCCGGCTGGGCACGGTGAGGACCCTCTGGCCGCACGCAGAGACCATCTTCAGCGAGCTGCAGCAGGAGATGGAGAAGGCTCGGCAGTTCATGAGCAGCTTCGAGCAGCTCCTGAGCAGCCACGGACCCGTCACCGCAGAGCAGGCTCCGAGCAGCAGCGCAGCCCCGGCCCAGGGCTCCGGGGAGGGCTTCTCCGTCTGCCAGGATGTGAAGAGCTTCGCCCCCGAGCAGCTGTCGGTGAAGGTGGTGGGCAGGAAGGTGGTGCTGGTGGGGCAGAAGGAGACGCAGAGCACGGACGAGAAGGGCTCCTTCTCCTACAAGTACGAGGTGCTGAAGCGCGAGTGGGACGTGCCCGAGGAGGTGGACGCCGAGGCGCTGAGCTGCTCCCTGTCGCCGGAGGGGCAACTGCGCATCGAGGCCCCCCGCTTGGCCCTGCCATCTGCTGAGAGGAACGTGCCCATCCAGGTGAGCCCCGCGGCTCCGCAGCCCGGGGCAGCCAAGGATGGAGCTGTCAGCAAAGCCAAGGCGTGATGGGACGGAACGGCGGTCTGCATCGGGACCAGCAGAGGCGGCAGTGAGTCTTGGGCTGTAGCCCAGACGTCCTCCATCCACCGTGTTTTTCACTATACTGGAACGTTCTTCTTTTTGTATCCAATAAAAAATCCTTTTGCGTAGAACCCGGTTGTGCTTCTTTTTGGGGGGATGATCGATGGGGTGGCTGAGCCTTGGTGTCGGCTCTTGGTGGGTGCATGGAGGGGGTACAACTCTCTCTGCTCTCAGCGCTTCAGAGCTGACAGCAGACCCCCTGTGCTGCTCAGAGCAGGGTGAACTCCCTGTTCTCCCACACTACAGCATCTCCTGCCCATGCCACTGCCTGCACCGTCTCACAGCCCTCATGCTCAGACCAGTGCCTCTAAATAGGAAGACAACTGAACTGGAAGATGCGAGGTGGAGGCGTAGCTACTTTTCTCCCCAGGCAGCTTAGAAAGGGGCTGCAGGAATCCCTCTGGGTTGGCAGCGGCAGGCGGGGCAGAACCGGGCTGCAGCACTTGGGGCCAGGTCTGGGCAGGTCTGCAGGCATGCAGCACAACGCCTGTTTTTGCCAAAGCTGCTCTGAGCTCATGCAGCTCTTCCTCACAGTGCCAGCAGCACAGAGGCTCTGCAGAGCACAGACCCAAACCAGAGTCCATCACAGCTGAACAGCACAGTGGGGCAGCAGCAGGAGACCCTGAGAGCATCACGGCCACAGCAGGGAGACGGAGACCCCGAGGCACGGGCCAGAAATGAAGTCCTGTCAGCTAGGAGCACTTGTACGAGAAACCAGCAGATGGCAACAGCACCTCGCTGTGCTCCCAACGCTGTTGAGTCGCGAGTGGCGGCCATCATCCAACAGGTCCTTCTTTGCTGTTGGGGATCCAGCAGCACAGACGAACCAACCCGGAAGCAGCGGGATCTCTGACCCCTCATGAGGGCTGTGAGCTCCTCCAGCAGATGAACAGAAACACATCAGCATCCTGTGATGACAGCGCCCACCGGGGGCAGAGGCCTTTGCTGACTGGTATTTGAGCACGTTACCCGTTTGTCCAACTGTCACAAACCCCAGTCCGACGCACGCTGCTCCTCCCACCTCCCCTCAGCTCCCGCTGCAGCTGTTAGCCTAGAAGCGATGGCGACAGACAGCTCTCGCTGTTTACCTCCACTTTGCTGCTGCACGCCCCGCTGAGCACAGCAAACCCGCGCAGCTCCTCCTAACAGCAGGCGCAACTGCAACTCCATGCAGGAATTCCTCCCTCCCGAGGCGGCTGCTGCAGAAGCACGGCCGAGAACTCGAGGAGCAAACAGCACGCGCTGCTCCCTGCCGAGGGAAGGACGGGCACAGCGCTGCTTACAGGCGAGCCCTGGCAGAGCTGGCTGAGCACACGGCCACCTCCTGGTCCGCCCCCCTTCGCTTGAGCTGGGTAAGAAACACGAACCTTGTTGATCGTCGTAGGTTTATAAAAATTTTCTTTTAATCACACAAAACGGAAGTTTGTGATGAAGATTAGCTTGACAGTTCCTCTTAAATACCAGTATGCATAAGACACTGCATTAGGCACTAGGCAGCAGCCAACATCAGTTAGAGTCTGGCAAGAGAAGCCATTTTAATACCTCCCTTCACACCGTGGGGAATTACAGGCTCTTGCAATACACAGTTTTCACTGACAGGTTATCCGAGGTTCCCCCTGCCCCACTTCTGTACATCAGCAAACCGTGTGCATTCACACCAGAGTAGGGTTAACATTAGTGGCATCACAACCATCAAAAAAAGACAATTTTCTATACAAGATTTCTTTTCTTTTTTTTTTTTTTTTTTTTGCAAAAGTTGCAACAGGATTAGTGCATGACGACAGAACCAGAGATAGAAAAGAAGTTGGCATGCTAGAGTCCAACACAAATAAAGACAATAGGCAGCTAGTTGTATGTACTATATTGACAAGATACTGATTGGTTACATGAAGAAACATACAATACAAAATACAGAAGAAATCAGTTCTTCTTCCCTCTGCCCCACCCCAAAATACTCATAATTGATTTGGTCAATAGGAGGCTGAAGAGCCAGAGCTTGTCCCCATAATGCTACACCTCAGTGGTTGTTCTGGGCACATCGTACTGGCATCGCCCTAGCTTCTACTCGTGGGTAACTCTACACCAGGTTCTCTAGTCTCAATATCCCTTTGTTTCCAATAGTGAACTACAGTACTGTGGGACCTGGGTGCTGCTGGCGCTCACCCGTGAAAGGAAGAGCTGGCAGGGCAGACACCAGGTCACGCATCCACCACCAGCAGGAAGAGGGAAGAGCAGAAGTTCGTATATTAAAAAAGTGACTTAAGACTTAGAATTGAATTAGTATTTGTACAGAAAGGTGCGGGTGGAAGAACTCCCTCCAGCCTATGATCAGAAAGGGATGGAGAAATCACAGCAGCCACTGGCAGCCGCTCTACGGTAAGTGCGATTGTTAGCGTGGGTTCCAGTCACGTCCTTCGGGGCTCTGCCCGCTGCGCTCAGCTGCTCAATTGCTGCAGCACTGGCTCCTGCTGGGCTGGCTGCTCTCCTGAAGGTCGACCACCCGATTCCTGCCCGGACCGCCTGGAGCGTTCTGGGGTTCATTTTTTGGCAGTTTCTTGGCTAGGAAAGAAGCAGGATCAGCAGGCTGCTCTTAGAGAGGCCGATCTCCCCCCGCAGATCACACGCTGAGCTCAGCTCCGCTCAGCCCAAGCCTCCACCTCTCCAGGAGCTCAGGGCCGGACGCTGCCGGCAGCACAAGAGCATCCAACCTGCTGTGAGCTGTCATCAGTTCCGCTCCACCCTCATCCGCCCCAGATAAAGGCAGAGGGGGAGCACGCTTTGCACCACCTGGGTGACTTCACTCACAAGCCTGGCAACCCGGTCACACACACACTCCAGCAAGAGCCTCAGAGCCTGGCTGGCAGATTCTGTGGCTTTCAGTAGGCTGCTCTGCTCAGAGCTGCTCCACGCAGCCTTTTCACACACACACACACACACACACACACAC